CACTGAGGTTGCCGGGAAATCCCCGGCGGAATTGATGTTCGGCAGAAATCTGAGAACGAGGCTTCATTTGTTGTTCCCGAACCCGCGTGTTGAAGTACAGGAGCATCAGAAAAAGTTTGTGTCTTCAGAGGAATCAAAGCCGGAAGTTACATTTCAGGACCATCAACCTGTTTACACCAGGTTACCGCATGAACAATGTTGGCAGCCGGCGACTGTGCTCGATTCTTCAGGAAGTCAAAACGATTTGCAGCTTCCGGACGGCCGGGTTGTTCGCTGGCACTCAGATCATGTACGCCCCAGGAGCACTGACACACCTGCCGTGAGTCAGTCACAATCGGAGATCGCAGAACAAGCTGCAGAGCACGACGAACACAGAACAACAGGGGAAACTCAATTACGCCGATCGACCCGGATTCGCAAACCGATCGAACGTTTTCAGCCATGACTGTAACGTCAGCCAAAACAGGGAGGACTGTTACGTGTTCAACCAATGATCGCTCACTAGGACCTTGGACCTGATTGGCCCTACACACACACGTATGTAAGCACGCACACACGCACTCAAGGACACACCCTAACTTTCCGTGTTCACATGTAAACCGTCAAGTGTTCAGTATACTGTGTGCCAGGCTGACGCGTCTTCTTGCTTATTCGCTACTAGTTAAAATACGTACTTGCGGTTAGAGTCCAGCTGTGATAATACTATCATTCGATTTGGCTCCGCGAGCTCCTCCTACCACTGTTCATCTTTTGGGTCCGTCCTTCGCGGATCACCAGCAAACTGTGCTTTTGAAATTTTCAAGTCAACCGTGCTTGAACCTAATCGGAGAATTTATTTTTCCTCTCGTCGCACAAGAACTCTGGTGGTCTTATTTTAAAGATTATTTTGAGAGTCACCCGAACATCTTAGTACCACTCCTAGATGCTGTACAAAGCGATAGTTGCCAATTTGGTCCGCCTTCGGTGCAACCACTGTCGTCATTAGACAGTATTTTCCAAGTCATCCTGCTTTGCCTCAATCCTACGCTGCATCACTGCCTGGATCTATTGATCCAGCCGGTCGCCTATCTACCCTAAGGAACGTGTGACTCATCTGGACGCGACACGTCTGATCTCCCTGACCTCAAACCAGTGCCGATCGTCACGCAACGAAAATTGAAGCGAAGTCACACACGGTGCGTCAGTACCCCTGTTGTAGTGTACACATCCAGTTACTCCATTCCATCTTGTTAGTAGGGAAGCTTTACACCATAGCACCACCATCTGCGGACATTCCTAATTCGCTGCCCCATTACTGACCGTGACCACATATATCAGTAGAATTATTCCATTCTAAGCTAGTGGTAAGTGATAAATCTACAACATATATTCTGAACCCTCCTTTTCTACCTAATCCCTTTTGGAATTGGCGCAAGTCACAATAACAAAGTACACACCTCAAGTGGATATGGCCCATTCGAAAGTCAATTGTGACCTATGTGTAAAAACCGTTAAGTCTGGTCCAGTTTGCTTTAACTGTCAAAAAGCGTACCATTAGAAGTGTTTAGGGATGAGTGTACTCGAAACTAGACAATACAGCAGCAAAACTGAAGTATTTTGGTTTTGCCAGGTGTGCAAATCGATCCCTGTTGTTAGTTGTGTAATTTCCCTAATGAAAAAGTGTGAAACGTTGACGGAAACAGTTGAGCAATTGGTGAACGCTAGCAACGCATCCGTGAAACAAGGCTACACTTGAAACTGAACGGACACCTACAAACTCCCCGTTTAGGCCGAAAAGTGGGCCAGGCTTCCCAACCTCACCATCGCGTCTCAGTCTCCAACAGCCCCTAGCCACATGACTCCACCAAGTGAAAAGTCGTTTACAAACCACTTGCTTCTACGTTCTCCAGAGGTGTACTAACTAGTAATGCAGTTGACATCCTCGAAACACAAAACTCCAGCAAGCCCACGGTAAAAAAATAACTGGACATCCTATGCAACGGTTGCTGCTAGGAAAACGCCGTCAAAGACAACTGTGACTCCACTTACCTCAGAGGTCAAAACTGTGCCTCCACATGGATCGCTATCGCCAGTGCGGTCCACTAATCCACAAAACAAGAGAACCTAGCGCTCTTAAGTCGTGAACCACAAGGCGGAATCCTGGTGCTTTAATTCTTGTGTGCACTAACGTTTCTGAATTCAAATCCAACACAATAAAGGGCAAATTGATAGATGACCGTAGTCAGTGGGATTCCATCTGTAGAGCCATCAGTGTGCGTACTGAACCCATTGCGCTGAGCCGCACCACACGACACTCAAATACCTTACACTATGGTGAGCCTCGACTACTTCGAGTAACACTACCTTCCGCGGAAGAAACGGAATACATTCCGCTCGCTGCAAAGCGACACCACAGAGCGTCGAACGGAGTATGTATCTTACAAGATATTCCGTGGAAAGAACGTTCAAAGGATATGAACGATCAACAGGGAAGTAGAAAACACGGGCTGAAAACCGTCATTATTCATGGCGTCCCTGAGTCTCAGGCTTCATCTCCTGAAGAAGTTCAGGCACATGACCTGGAGCAATGGCGATACATTCGTGAGGCGCTTTGTTTAAAAAATGTCATTGCTACCTCCCTGACCAGGATTCCCGTGTTACCAAATTACAAAGGGTTTGGTCCTAGGTTGCTGAAGTTGCTCTTACCGTCTGAGCTAACTTTACAGACAGTTCTGCGGGGAACCTCCGGAACATGCTACCAACAGAAATTCAACTAAAAGCAGCAGGTTTATGACCAGAGGCTACTGGTTACTCCATGGAGAGAGCCAACACAGTGGGAACAACCGTTGTTGCAGTGTCCACCACAGAGACTGATCCGACTGTCGTCATAGCATCCGGCGAGACACTGCAGGAGGTGAGTGACCATTAGGATCATCATGAACCTGATCACAATGTGCACAGAGTTATTCCAAGTCATTCACGCGAGTCCAAGCCAATTCAAAAATACTTGGATCAGCCGACCTCAAGAGGGTCGGCCAAGTCTCAAACCTGTTGTCTACATCCACAAACAAACTTCTAACCTATGAATCACTCTCCTGTTTTTATACCAACGCACAAGGTTTTTTAAGCAAACTAACAAAGCTACGCCTGCGTCAGGTCTCGATGTTAAGAGACCTTGTTATGATAACCGAGCCCTGGTTGATTGAACTGAACAGTGATCCAGAAATCACACTACCTGGGATGTCTATTCTACACAACGATCGACCAAGCAGAGGAGGTGGAGTACTAGTTTATTATCGCAGCGAACTACACCTTGATCTCATCGATGACCCGGAGGTTCAGATTGTCGATGCGCTTTGGCGCCGTCTGCACCTAAGCCATGTCGTGTATCGCCCTCCATCGGCTACTTTGGAAATGGACAACCACCTAGCCTCCACAATGAAGACCATTCTCTCATAATCGTAGTCACATTCTCCTGGTTGGTGACTTCAATATTCACACCATAGAAACCCCAGCCTGTACCAACGAACACTTCAAAATGCAAGTACAGGAGATAATTAGTGGACTACCACTCCACAATCACACCACATCTCCCACAAGATTCAGGACGGGAAACAGGCCGAGTGTCCTGGATCTTGTATCCACCAACGAAGAGCTTATGATCGAAACGGTATCGATAGAGACTCCTTTGGGCCGTAGCGACCATGCAACACTCAGGTTCAATTACATCTGTTATGCAGAGTATTCCTCAGAAAACACGGAAGAGTGTCAGCTCATTACGGTTTATGGCGCTCTAATCAAACTTATAAATGTTACAAATTGGACATTTATGGCAGAACGATCCCCCGATGTCGCCTGGTCTGAATTTGCTCACCAGTTCAACACGTTAGTAACTAGTGCTTTTAGAAAAAGACCTTCGCGAGGGAAGATAGTGAAATCATTCATACGCAGCAGGACACTGAAGTGCATCATCAGGAGGAATTTACTCTGGAGAAGACACAAGGAGTCATCGGGTGCCGAAACATGGGATACCTACACTATCCAAACGAATCACTGCGTAAACCTAGTACGCGAAGATAAAAAATACAGTACTAACAGAATCTAGCTGAGAAATTCCTTTCTAACCCCAAGCTCCTGTATAGACACATAAACAAGTTACGCAAAGTGCAGCGAGGCATTCCTGCCTTACACACGTTATGTGGACTCGCACAAACCGCAACCGAGGCAGCCAACGCCCTATGTCAACAATACGCCCCGAACTTCCAGAGCTCGATATCGCCGCATACACCGTTCCCGATCGTTGTGCCACCCTCGGGGTCTACAGTGGACAATATCAACACCTGTGTGGCGACTTGATAATGACTTATATGATCCTGAAGAATGCAAACATGCTTGGCGTCATCTATTAGAGCTGAATCGTAATATTACACTCAGAGGACACCAGCTAAAGCTGGCCACACAATACAGCCGGTTGGAATGCCGCCGGAATTTCTTTTCCCTTCGTATGTGCCAACACTGGAACGCCCTTCCCACATACGTTGTTTCTTCCCCCACGCTAAAGGTATTCAAAAGACGTCCGGATGATTCGCTTATCCACCTAGCGCTATATAATCAGAGATGTCTACGTCCAACCAACGCGAACAGACGGTGCTCATTCTCAGCTTTTGTGCTTCACTACTTACACACTGCTGTTGTGGAATATTGTTTCGGATATATTACAACTGCTTTCATCAATTACCTCAATCCAAGAAAGCGGCGCACGAGTAAGCGTTAGCGTTTCTTTTGTTCTTAAAACATGCCTTCCCCATATTGCTGCCCATATTACAGTTATAATTCAGTACACATTCTAAATTGTTTATATGAATAAGGGGCACCTGAATAGCTAGACGCCTAAATTGACGATTTACACTTATGTTTACTTTCACTGTAACCATCCTACGGGACTTGTAAAGCAATCGCATTTTTACTTGTAATATATCATTGTTCATTGTTCATTGTTTACTGGGAGTGGTATGACTCACTTTACGAAGGAACTATGCCACATCCACGCGCCATCCTCCCAGAGGCGATAAAGCATGTTGAAAGAGGTGATAGGCCGCCAAGGGTATGGTACCTCAGAGAAGTTCACTGGGCAATTCATCTCATCCACCCAAGTGATGCATTCGGCGATGCCGTTGCACCGCTCCGCCCTTGAGTAACAGTCGCGCCCAGTTGCGGAAAAACAGGGTAAGGCCCTTGACGGATCTACGGTTTCGTTGCATGTATCTGAATAAAAAATTGTGTGGTGTAGCTGTGTAGTGAATCGGGATGTATGGAAGGTATTCAGGAAAGCCTGACGATGGAAGTCCCATGGTCAGTTTTTTCATGAAAAGCAGATATGATAAAACGAAAATTTGCCACGGAATAATCGTTATTTTGCGTGCTAACTTGACGTAGCGTTGCCTGGCTACCTATTTCTCCGACAAACTTGCAGCTTTTTACGCATCTCACACAACAAAACTCTTCCACCTAGCACATATAAGATGCGTTATAAAGCACAATTTATCACATCTCGTTATCGCGAACAGCACGTATCAAACAACAATAGTAGGCTGTTGTATGTATGTAGATTGTATAGACTACAAAACCATTGCTTAGACAAAGATGAGAATGATCCACAAATGATCATCAGGGAAGAAAGCAGTCATGTTCGCTTATCTTGGTTAATGGATCTTACCGATGTAGCCAATGGGGATTCAAGCAACATGAACAAGCAAATGAGTTGATTTTTGATTGCAACTTCCGGTGAACTGACTAACTACAAAAATGAACAATGTCTGAACCATATAAATTACTGTGCGCCGTAGTGTTCTACAGTGACGACGGTTCGTTGAGTATGGTAGATTGTCAAGGTGTATAATGACCACTATATGAAAAAAGTGAGTGTTCTGCTGTAGTTGCGTCATAAAGTATATGTACTTGTGGACAAGTTGCAGTTTGAGGTACGGGTCACATTTGTAGACGATAAATATACGAACCATGCAGTCCGTGGAGAACGAAAGCAAACCTTTCGCATGCACAGATCCCACTATTGTGCTGAGATTTGGGGATCAAGTTATCGACTAGAACGTATTGGAGGCGAGACAGGCAATGATGGCGGGACGAGTGATGTGCGAAATCCCCTACTGAATCTGATATTGACTATACACCCGATGATGGGATTGTATAACTTAGCACAGTGCGTCTGAAAGCCAGGCAGAAGATTCGGGGTCCAGGATATCAGGAACCTGTGTAAAGTTACCCAGAACCATACTGAGATGGCAGGGCTTGCTGCAAACTTGACGCTTTGACTCCAATACACCTAGTTAATTACAAATAAGAACATCGATAACAAAGGATAATGACGGTTCTTGAAGGAGAAGGCTTTACTTTAGAACTGGGCGTTTCCATACTGGTATTTGGGTGCCGGAATATGTTCAGCGTAGTCGTTGAATAACACTTAGAAAAAGCAATCAGAAGACTTTATTCCATGTGAACCCAGTTGCAACAATCAGATGCAATACGAGCTATGCCGTTCTTTATCCGCCATGTCATCATACTTCATTTAAAGTGCGACCTTCGCAAATGAACCTGGGTACTGACGGAAGCAGCAGTCATCTTTGTGCATCGGTTTTCATTTGATTGAAAACAGTTCTATCGGACATTGGACAACTATTCAAACGGTTTACCAGATGCATGGCACTGGGGTTTTAAGAGTGTGCATCGTATCAGTAAATCCTAATGACTATATCAGTGTATTTTAATAACTCAACCGGTCTTATAACAGCGCTTAGCATGTGATAGTAGCTCAGAAGATGCGGTGGCCCATTCCAAGCCGGTCGGTGACTTGTTTTCCAATAAACATGGTGTAGTTCAATGTATCGTTTGAGTGCAACCACCATATGGCAAGACTAAAAAGTCGAAGACTTACGGTAAAAGTTGGCCTTGGTGAAATTAGCATCGGTGAATAAGATGAGACCGGATATGTTCATCGTTGTATTCGCGTCGGCTCCAATACTTGGTGCAGGCACGTAAATGCGATGTTGATCATCCAGGCTTTCAAACCATGTATGAACATAAGGAAGTTGACTTTCGCCATTGTACCTCGTCAATTCGTCAACAATCTATAAGTAGAAAGAAATCGGACGACTGCTCAGATGGGTAAAGAGCATAACCATCTTCCGCAAGTTATCATTCTCTTCAGTTTACCAGCGCGTAGGTGTCTCCTATGACGAGATATAACTGCACAGCTTCACAAGCACGAAGTGTAACCATTACTTACTAATCTATAAGTTTTAAGCTAAGATACCTAGACCAAAAAATCATATGTCTCCAAAGACTGTTGTGTGCACGAACGATCTAGAATCGCAGTATGGTGCCCTAAAGTGGAAGCTAATGGTCGTTCGTACTCAGTTGAATACCATTTGTGGTGCAGTTGGCAATTCGGCTGGGCCCACGACAGTAACACATGTCCCATGTCACCCAAATTCCGTGCATTACAGTGAACATCGACTTCTCCGGGTGACACTGAGCTTCCATGATGATACAGAAGCCGTTTTACTATCTTCGATTCGGCTCCTTAAGTCCTCACATAAGGTGCGCATACTTCCAACATTCCTTGGAACTAGCTTTCTAAAGAGAACATCAATCATGAAGAAGCTCGTAAGGCTGACGTAAAATGGACGATTATTGTTTACGAGATTCCCGAGATGCAAAATCTTCCTCTGAGGAAGCGGAGGCAAGCAACTGGGAGCAATGGACTTGCATTCGCCAGGAACTCTCCCACGACAATATGGTTGCAAAACGATTGACAAAAATTCCAGTTACACCAAACTATTAGGGAAACGGTCCCTGGCCCATTGGAAATTCAGTCTAAATTCCACAAGAGGCTGCCTACAGAAATTCGGTTAAAGTCAGCAGGTACATGGACCCAGATGGCTAACGACACATTGCGGATGACCAAATTGGTGAACCTTCAACTCATACAGTTTTGCGATTGGATTGATTCAATGGCAACCTCAGCATCGGACGGAATAAAACTTGCAGTTGGTGAAAAATTTAATCAAATTGTCCTCAGCATGCAGATTCGTAAAGAGGACCTGAGGAACATTCTAGTGAACTTATTACAATCACTACACAATCAGACTTTATCAGCACATTCCGTTATTTTTTGCATCAACTCTGCCTGTGATGGGTTCCAAAAGATTATTGATGATTTATTAAAGGATGTATATTTCACTTGTGCTTATTTTGATAATATTCTCATCTCCAGATGCTCCGACGTAGAACAGCTCCGAACATTTTCTGTCGTACTTGGAAGCGTGGCTCTAAACGGACTTAACTTGCAATGATCTAAGTGTGAGTTCCTTTCTACATGTGTGCGTTATCTTAGGTATAGGCTTGATAAGGTCGGTTTACATACTTTAGATGAAAAGATAACACCCATTTCAGATTGCCTTGAACTGACAAGCATTAATGAGCTCCGTTTCTTTTTGGGATTATTATTTCATTGCCGCCATTGCTTACCTGATGCCTCACTAGCCTATCTTACCTGAATGAGTTAATCATAAAAAGGTGTGTTGGAGTCCTTGGCAAAGCAATGCTTTAACGGAAGCAAAACAAGCCCTCGCCCCTTTACAAATTTTAGTTCATTCTGATCCTAGGCAGCCCAAGATTCTCTAGTGTGACATCCCACTGGGTGTTGGTGCTGTCCTGTGCCATCGCATGACTGAACAAATATTGTGCCCCATAGCACGCACTCTGGAACCACTGGAATGAAACTATTTAGAGCTTGAAAACGAAGCCTTATCAGTACGTCTGAGGGAAGTTTTAGCATTTCACACAGACCCCAACCCATTGATATCGCTGTTAGGAGGAACCAAAGGTATACAACAGATGTCTTCACCAGGAATGCGAAGATGGGCTCTGACGTTGAGAGCATACAATTAACATTTACCTATATTCCTGGCACGAGCAATCGCATAGTTGTCGCAAAACTCGGTCCCTCAGGGAGCATCGGTTTATTAGACAAAACAAGCTCAGTAAAACGGACAGCATAACCAGCATATAGAAGCCTCGATATAAATAACTAGGTAAATTCCATGACGAACGACGCCTTAGCATTCAAGAGATTATTCCTTTGAATCAATTAAACAAACCCGTCCCAGCGTAGCCAAATACGACTAATCGACGTATGGGCATCTAATCAACTGCTCTGTTCGCTTGCGGCAAGCTAGCCGCCTGCTTCGTCGTGTAAATCCCTATCGTTCTTCTTCTTGGACGATCCCATCACACACCTGACGCTCGTACCCGGCTATCAATGGCATGGAAGTCAAATGAGCATGTTACTCACGCTGAATTGGTCCACTTAATGCAACGCTGATACAATGCCTATAGGAAGCTCCGTATTTGTTAATGGACAGATCAAGACTCCGTGCTTTCAACAAGTGAATGGTTCTCAACAGATGGACGGCATATTGAAAAAGCAGCAAACTTACCGCTATTCATAACATACGTAAATGAGCTAAGCTTATTGGATGGTTTGTGTTTTGGGGTTTCCCGTTTGTCCCTCTTAGCAAGGCTCGTGCATAACTTCATCACGAGTTCCATGGTGCACATCCAGGCGTCTCGAGAATGAGAGTACTAGCGAGGAGATATTACTGGTGGCAAAGGGACAGATTCAAATTTTGAGAACATGCTGAAGAATTGTCAACACACCAGCACCATAAACCCAATACGTCCGTGACATTGGCCTGACAACTCTGGAAACGGATCCAGGTCAATTATTTCGGCCCGATTAATGGAACCATGTTTCTTTTACTCATCCATGCCCACTCCAAGTAGCTTTAAGTGTATTCCGTTACGCATGCAACGTCGGTAGCCACCATTGTTAAAATGCGTTTATCATTCGCCACACTCAGGTGATCCGGAGAATCCATGTACCGATAACGGCTCCCTTTTTATTAGCACCGAGTTCAACCGATTCGTCACTACCAACAGAATTCAGCATATAAAGTCGTCTTCTCATCATCCCGCTCCAAAAGGGGTTAGCAGAGGATTCAGTGTAGACAGGGAAGCGAACACTGTTGAAACAGCCGGATTGGTTTCGATTTGCCAGTCGTTACTGCAGAGCTGATTTTCGTGTAACGTACTCCGAGAACCAAAGAAGAAAACTGGGCTGCGATCAAAATCTATTCTGCTTAGAAATAAACATATTTATAGGGAAACCTACACTCCAATGAGCGATTTCGACTTGAAGTTCCTTGATTGACTGCCTCTGAAGGAAGCTTAGTATATTCATCGACCGTGCCAATTGCTCGTACGGGCTTACAATGCGATTCCTGCTCACGCGTTTAAGCGTTGCTGTTCGGCTGGCGGTGATTGATCAGCTAGCAGACTGCTGACCCAAATTCGTTCAGCTCTCACCTTTAAAGGTAACCAGCATGCTCGGCGTCTTATCTTACCATCACCATTGTGTTTGGCAGGAATCTTAGGACAAGACTGAATCTACCGCTTTCTACTCCACGTGTCGGGATGACAGAGAGTCAGAAAAGGTCAGTGTTTTCAGAAGAGCTGAAGAAGGACGCAATTTCCGGGGAATGACTTGGTCTACACCAAATAGCCACACGGAACACACTGGTAACCTGACACCGTAATTCATTCCACGGTAAGCCAAAACAGCATCCAACTTCCAGACGACCGTCTTATTCGCCGACATTCGGATTACGCGCGTCCACGGAGCTCACATATACCAAACGTGGGACAGGCAGACTTCTGCGTAGACCGAGAACCAGCAACTGAGGACGAAGCGTACGGATCAGCCAGCGAGAAGCTACCGAGGGGATCAACTCGCATTCCAAACCGGTCGATCATTTTCAGCCGGTATTATGACGACATCTATGGGGGTGAGAGGTGTCGCATTTGCATTAAAGGTCAAGCCCTAATCCGCTCAGGCTTATGGGCACCACACATACATGCACGCACGCAAGCACACTACTCCCATCGTGTCGCCAGTGCATGTTAGTCGACTGTCCTGTCAGTTAAACTGGTTCGTTTCGGCTGCTCACAAGCGCAACAATGTAAGCAGCAATCCATGGAGGCACCAGGCGATCGTTTCGCCTCGTTGGGGCTCGTCAGTGGTGCACCTTTCCCGGTTCCCTGCAGAGAAACGAAACCGTGACTGCTAGCAGCCTATGCCACTGAGCCATGGGGGCGGTGGCAGACCAATACAACTCGTACGCTAACTAGGGTATAGTAAATTCTAGCCTCCGCTACTATGTTGGTTACCAACCTTGCAGAGGACAGCGGTTGGCTTCCGGAGATCATGTCTTCTTATTTGTAGTAAATACAGCCGGAAAAAGGTGGTGTGGGGATGGGATCCTCCCACTGTCAGTTGTAGGTGAATAGCAAAATTGGTGAGCGCGAAAATATAGGCGGGGATAGGATACTTAGAATGCTGCAATCCTCATCTAGATGATTTAGTTGGTTCCATGGATAAGCACAACAAGTTGGATGAGGCTCCTGGCTGTTTTGACCGAAGTCATGCAGCAAGAAAACTTGCAGTGCTCAATCAGTATAAGAATTCTTACAGTATAATATAGTATAGTGAACGCGGATACTCTGGGATTTGCGTTTCAAAGAACTATCTGGAAAAGCCCAACCCAGTACCGGTTTATATCATGGAGAAGAGAGTTGTACAAAAGGTTGCCATTGAAGGCTGGCGGAGTCACGAAACATGTAACCAGCTATCTCCAAGCTGCAGTTAGGTCAATCTCGCAATCGTTTTTGTACTAACCAAGGACATGTTACTGATGCCAACCGTTTCCACCCTTTTTTAGTGCTCCTGAGTTGAACGTAAGCCATTCGAAGGACGCGGCATTTATCTGAACGCGTGAATAAGCCCAGCTCACACCTCTTTCGACGAAGTGGGATCAGCTGTTACCAAGACAGTTTTGGCACCTACTGTCGACACTGGGTATCAAGCGGAGAGATATGTACCATTTGGAATAATGTGCAAGCATCCTTCTACTTACCATTGCGACAGCTGAATCAACTGGCACTCAGTTGGTTCAATAGCTTTCACTTTCGCGAAATAAAACAATGCTGGTTTCAGAAGGTTTGTCAGACGACCGGTGAATATATTTGTTGCACTGCATAACGTTTCGCGTTTTACTCGAAATCTCCTTCATAATTTTGAGTCTAACAAGACTTCTGAAATGACACCTTCCCGATCGGTTCCAAATCTTTTCCAAGATATCACGCCAATTCTAACCCTGTAGTCCTCTTGAAGTCGCTGAGGTCAACGGAGGCTTAAGACGATGTGGTCTACAGTGGCCTCTCAACAACGAGTGACTAATGAAAGTGTTGAGGAGCGAAGAGGTTGCAGGCACGTGACCACCATCCACAAGTGATCCGATCGATCTTCGTCTCCTTATGTCACTGTAAGCTTGTGATATTGCGATATTAGATGTTGTGTCGCCAGTGACGTCTTCCCCCCACGACCGCAAGAGGAAGTCCAAAGACGAGCCACAAAGAGACTTGTATACATGAAATCACATTTGCTTATATACTTTCGAAGGCCAAAGGAAGAGAAGCTACTAAATTACACTTGAACCAACTAAAAGAAGGAAAAACGTCAAATGTAACGGGTGAATAAGCAACCGTGTACTCAATAGCGAATCGCATATGTCCTTAAAAATGGCATCATGGGACTCCAAGCGTAAAGCGAACATCCCTTTACAGTGACGGGCACTGGCCAATCAGAACAACGAAACGTAGCGTTTAAACAAATGTCACGAAACAAACGAGAATAAGAAATACAGACCCAAAAATTAAAAACTAGTACAATAACCGTGTGACAACCAAATATTCCTTTAACATACCCAAGTAGAACAGTTATGAGGAGAAAAACCAATGGAATGTGTTCTCGCAAATGACACTGCTGAAAAGGACACGACGATGAGCGTCCATTAATAATGACGTGTGTGGACCAATCGGGCTAACCTGGTAGAGCGTTTAAACAACAGTCAAGAAGTAGAAAATAGGGAGGGTAAAGAATGGCTATTAAGCTTGTTCACAAGAAATGAATGTCTAATAGCTATTATCCAAAAAATTAGAAACAACAGCTCAAATTCGTTCCTGTCTTCCTGGCAGGTAATTGGAACTTTTCTGCCTAAATGTATTAAGTTACCACTTCTCCTCTCACTGTGCGCGGCACCTGTTTCGGCCTGGAACTCGCAGTTCAGTGGTCTGATTTCTTCTGTACCACTTGAGTGGTCTAAGTTGTGACAGTTCACTGTGGCTTCCGTAGTTACGTAGTGGACATTTCACGCACCGTTCGATAAGACATTTGCGTGACAAACCGGTTTCCCAGTTGGCTGGATGTTCACATAAGTTGGGAGTGGGGAACTGATAGTGATCTCGTTTCTTCGGCCCTGGAGCGCTATAAACCTCAGCTATTTACTGCTTTTAAAAACTGTGCTTTTGGGGACACAAACGCGATAGCACAGAAGTAATGTGCTCTGGTAGGATATTTAATGAATTAACTGTGGGTTGAATCTGGTGGGACACAAAACAAAATACAGAGGGCGCATTGTAACCGTGAAGGACATATCGAACGCAGTACGCATGCGCGATGGGGTGGTTAGGCAGATAACATTGCAATCGGCACTGCGGCTGTCGGATATATATGTATCTCCCCTCATAAATGAACTACGTTTGGATTTATACTTAACATCATGTTCCGGTCTGATATTCCGAGCTTACTTGTTGCTGCCAGGAAACTAGTTTCACTTTGGCATCAAGGTCTACATTCGTTCTACAGGCCGTTATCAAACAAGGTGTGTCGATCACAAGGTACCTTAATTGCGTGCCATCGGTGGGGCTAGTGTGCACATAACGGGTCTACGCAAGACGGAGTTCCCCACCGTTTGTGTACAGACTCCGGCCTGATTCTGTTTTTCCCCTATCTTTTTCATCGAAAGCGCAGTCCGTGCTCTCGATCGGCGTACGGACATATTAACAAACAGATCTCACACTAGTCCCACACAATGAAAGCAAAGTTATCCTGGCTAGCCCTGAGAGACATGAGTGTGAAGCATAGGAACACTGAGAATTAACCACCCCATAACCACTCGATGACCATCCATATTGTGAGAGGTACCTACTACTCGGATAACCAATCAATCAGACAACACTGGATGAGCAACTTATTCTGGATCGCGATATGAACTGAAGACTGGCTTGTCGTCACCAAACCCAAGGACACCTGAGTGGCAAATCTGGCATGCATTCAGCTAAGGCAGCACGACATACCCAATCCGGTGGCAGTTACGTCGAATGGCCGGAAAACACAGAAGCACTAAGTAAAAAGGAATAAAATCAATGTTAATAAGTGAAAACTTTTCGGTTGAGCCCTGATGGATGAACTCACGTTACGTTCCTTCAAGAATGGAGCCGCATTGTATTTGTACAAATCGGAGTGGATCACATTGAAAGTCAAGTATGATCCGGGTGTCGCTTGTCCCCTGACTTCCACTGTGTCCTGATTTAGATCCTTCCCTCGGTTAACTTGCATCTGGACATTGTTCAGATTAGTGTAATTAGTGTAGAAAGTAAGTGCGTCCGAGACGATCTCGCTGCTGTCCTTTATGAAGTAAGCCACCAGATGAGCAACCGGGAACATGGCGCGCGATATAGCCACGGAGAAGGTGCGCGATGTCACTGCATTCGGTAAACGCAGCTGATCCACTGAGAGTATGTTCCCATTGGAAATCACCTGGGAAGAGCGACACATGAAACGTTTATGACGGTGACTGATGTGCTGAAGACTGAGTGAAGCACACACAGGAAAAGGAAACTGGGACCGGGTGCCGGGGAAAGTTTACACTTACTACGTAGTGAATCGTATCCGTGGGATAGTTCGTTTGTGCCGTGATAACAAGAAATTCGTTTACCTATCAAAAAGAGTTGATACAAAATGAAACGTGTGGCTTCATCAAATGTCTGCACTCATGGTTACTCGTTTCTAATTACTCCAAAGCGCGATATGCACCAAATATTAGGGCACACAGTCACATTCAACAGAATTTAGTAACAAGTTGCAGAGCCAATACGGTTACAAGATGTGCCGACTAAATAAAAAGAACATAGAAAGAGCTCCTTAGTACAGTACACGTCGAATTGTCGGTGGGATGTCGTTCACCGAACACTCCAGTCGGACTGTGTCCATCACTCCACGCCACTGATGCGACGCTGTTGGTTTTAGATCAGGTGTGACCCCAGTAAATCCTCGGCACAATCACACTTTGCAGGTTGTCGCGCCTGCTCCAATGGCACTTGTGCACACAGGGGTGTCCATGCAGCTAGATGATGACAGCTACTTTTACGGCATACTTAAAGGGTGTTTTGGAAATCCGGTCCGGAGCTAAGAGCGACCGCACTCAGGTGCTGACGTACAACCGGTACGCTGAATTGCTAACTGTCCAATGGCAAAATTGCTTTGCCGGCCGGAGTGAGATGGGTCACAGACGCCACATGTGTGCCTAGGATCGCAGAGCACACAATGTGGGAAGTGAAGGTTAGCCAGACACCATAGCCGCAATGCATGCGTTGTGCCTCAACCCATGACAAGACCTAAGGAACGCACGCCGTTCAGCTTGACGGGAGCTAGGCACCACACAGCCGCACTGAACGTGTCATGCTTCTATCGATCGGTAGTCAACCTTCTGTTGTGACGCCCAGTACGCCTTCGCCCCACGATCGCAAGAAGAAGTCCAAGATGAGCCGGGATGAACAGATTTTCTATTATAGCACGGCACCAGTTATATAGCTTTACAAACAAGGGCGAATCCAAGCTACTAAACGCATGAGATCCAACAGGCATGGAGAAAACACGAAATGGAACAAGCAAATGAGAATCTCGAAAATTACGAGCCAATGGAGTGCGACAAAGAAAATAGTGTCTGCGGAGTTAATCCCTGGGGGTAACCTTCTGGTGAGCGACCATTAAAAACGACGAGTAGCGTCCAATCAGTGTGGAGAAGTAATGCGATTAAATAAATGCCAGAACAGTTGATAGTGAGAATGATACACACCAGGAAAATAAAAACAGATATAATAAATATGTGTCGGCTGAATAATACATCCACGTGAAAAGCTAACGAAGGCTGAGCAAAAGAAACCAATCAGAATGTCCACAGAATTAAACGGCTGAAATTAGCTGTGAGCGATTGCGAATAAGGCTGAGGAAAGCGGCGTGTCCAAAATGTAACAGAGAAGCAGGTAACTGCGCAAACCAAGAAATATGTACCTAACATAATTCATGAAACTGAGGGTTAAGTAGCCAGCTACCTAACACCTTCACGCAGGTGAAAAGCCAGCGAAAGGGTTTCCTGCGAAGTGGTTAGTGGCTCGCTGTGCTAGCAATTGAGAAAAATAGCCTTGCCGTATGTGATGACCGGTCGATGGGCACCCCGTATTGCTATCGCCACAAAAACTATCGCCAACAAACCCGTAAACTTTAATTAGGCTGCTTTCACTGCTAAAGGGAATCATACTACCAGGAGCACATTGTAAGGTTGCTTTACCGTTCCGATCACTTGTGTGTGTTCCAGCTGCAAATTCACCCTTCATGGGTTCATAAATCGAATTCTTGACAACGCTTTTAGATTTCAGTCTGCCACGACGCAATGATGGCAGCATACCAATTTAGCCATGAACACAACTATTGCTCCCACAGTCAGACACTTGCTACTTCTACAAATTGATCAGGCCTTCGATGGTATTTCCTATGTACAATCGATAACAAACATTTATTCACAAATTCAGCTATCTTTATTGTTAGCGTTCCCGTCCGTTTCCCAGAATACGAAACTCCTATAAAGAACTCCTATCCAACTGCCGCATACAGCTTGGAGATCGAGTATTCACGCCCGTCACCCAGGTTGAAGTTGGCATAGTCGCCGCAGGGTAACAAGGAAAATGAAGATCCCAGTCAAACAGGGAGTTTAAGGTAACAACATTTCCGCGGCATAATCTCAGAGTTGTGACCGTTTCTGTCAAACATCCTTCGTTAGGGAGGAATTGCCCGACACACTGAATTACTCCAATAAAGCTGTTTGTAGTAAGTTGTGATGTATCTCTTAATAGGCCGCTACAGTCCATGTCGACCATCTGACGCATGAGTTCGTTCGCATGCGCGAACAAATGCGTGCTATGGAGTTGAGGGTAGGCTCCTGGATCGCCGCTTGGTCAGTGACAAGACAGCTGCCGTCCGTCCTGTGCCTCTGCCAATGGACTCCGTCGATGAGCTCCTTACGCTGAATATGCGGCTGGAGAAACGCGAAGACACGGCGAACTTAGTAAGGACAGAATTCATGTATGATGTTTCAGACGACCTGTTTCGGGCAACTGGGAGGAAAGTCTTTGACGGAATTCGTCGGGAACTTACTGTTAGCAGTTATGACGAACGCCTTGGCAAGGAAAGTGAACTGGCGAGGAGTTCACGCAAGCAACGAGTTTCGAGCACGCCCTTGGCCCGTGTTATTATCGGTAATCTGGGAGGTTGCATAAAAGATCTGTTTCAGACGCTGTATTGCGGAAAAGTTGCGCCGTTTGCACTGGAAGTATTGTAGCGAGAACGACAAGACAGGGGGGTAGACTTTTATTGCACACCGAAAATGGGCACATCCGGGTCTCACGCGCGCCATCGAATATCGACTAGATTTCCGTCCCACCACGCAACACAGGTACGGATGTTAGAGGCGAGCCAGTCCTTTCGCCTCGGGAGCTCTGACTTGGAAGTCCCGCCTTCCTGTTTTCGCCTCGATCTGCGCTTCTCTGTATCCGATTTGGATCGGCCAGGAGTCCTTCGAGAGCTCACGACTTGCTTGTTCTGGGCTGTGTCAATCGGCTCGGCCTCGTTCCTGTGGGCTGCGCTAGCGGCGTATTTGTCTGATTTATTGCGCTGTCCACATATTCCCGCTCCGTAGTTCCGGGCCCAGGCTCGTCGCTAGCCGTCTTTCACGATCCGCTCTCAGCTAGCTCCGAAGAGCTCCCCAGAGCCATTCTTGGAAGCGGCCTGTTAATGGGACGGAACCAGCCAATGAGAGCATTTTACGCTGAGGGCTATTGATTTGGCCATAAATTGAATGTACCGTTAGTTGGACGTTAAGCAAATATACTTGCCAGCCGTACGCCGGTCTCCTGCTTTGGGAAGTCGGGCTGATCAGAGTGCACGCTAGCAGCAGGTCATCGGTAGGTCAGCCGAAACCATAACATATATTTTTGGCGACGGAAGGTAGTGGATCAAGATGTCAATTTCAGCGGAAGACCTGAAAATCATTTTGTTGCAGCAACAGCAGCAATTTGAAACAGCACAGCTGCGTATGATTGAAACCCTCACCCAAATGTTATCTGTGCAGCCTACGGTCGTTCAGAACAATGGGAAGCCTTCGGCGGATGCGATGATCAGTAGTGTTAATGAGTTCATATTCGATCCTGACTCAGGATTAATATTCGATGCGTGGTTCAGGCGCTAACTCTTGTCGCGAACCTTCGGTAACCTGCTTTTCGAGTATCACATGACGATCTAAATGATGTTTTGAATCTGCAGTGGGTCTCCTTGTGCCCCCGTCTAAAGCACCTTTGACAAACATGTTTGCTGAAAGGACATCTCACAAAATGCCATCCTCCACATTGCCAGCAAGGTGAGGGGGGTTTGGATTGTGGATATCTGCTAGGTTGAGCGGTCGGTGGGTTGTTTCCTGAAATTTGCTGTTCATCGTTTGTTCATCATTAACTAATTTTGATCACTTTTAATGCAGTTCCACGATCCCTACAGGGGTGCGCACGTAGACACTCCTAAGCGCCCTAAATGGTTACCACGTAGAAAAGTACCGAGCTCATGAACCACATACTCACTTATCGCACCGCAACCCCCTAATTCGGCTGCTGGCGTTTTTTGCTGGGCGCCCGAATTTAGTCACATTTGGGATGCAATTCGGGCGCACAGTATAATATTGCAGCCGCAAACACCCATTTATGTGTAACTATTTTCCATTACTTTTAACGTGCTATAACGACCACTGAATAATCTTGCATGAAAAACCACTTGCACGCCATTTGAGACTAAATTCGGGAGCTCAGAAAAATATCGCCGCAGCATCCCCCATCCGCGGATAACAATTTTCCTTTAATCGTAACACTTTTGGACTACCACTACAGGTGTGCATACGAATGCATTCACCGCCGTCCTCTAAATTACTCTTACATACAGAAATAGGCGGTTCTTACTGAGCGCCCGAATTTCATCCCAAATGAGACTAAATTCGGTGTATCCAGCGGCGAATCTTATCGGCGATGATAATTCCAGTGCAAACGGCGCAACTTTTCCGCAATACAGCGTCTGAAACAGATCTTTTATGCAACCTCCCAGATTACCGATAATAACACGGGCCAAGGGCGTGCTCGAAACTCGTTGCTTGCGTGAACTCCTCGCCAGTTCACTTTCCTTGCCAAGGCGTTCGTCATAACTGCTAACAGTAAGTTCCCGACGAATTCCGTCAAAGACTTTCCTCCCAGTTGCCCGAAACAGGTCGTCTGAAACATCATACATGAATTCTGTCCTTACTAAGTTCGCCGTGTCTTCGCGTTTCTCCAGCCGCATATTCAGCGTAAGGAGCTCATCGACGGAGTCCATTGGCAGAGGCACAGGACTGACGGCAGCTGTCTTGTCACTGACCAAGCGGCGATCCAGGAGCCTACCCTCAACTCCATAGCACGCATTTGTTCGCGCATGCGAACGAACTCATGCGTCAGATGGTCGACATGGACTGTAGCGGCCTATTAAGAGATACATCACAACTTACTACAAACAGCTTTATTGGAGTAATTCAGTGTGTCTGGCAATTCCTCCGTAACGAAGGATGTTTGACAGCAACGGTCACAACTATGA